AAGTATAGTTTCCTCAAATAGCAGGGAACATTGAAGTACAAGATGAAACAAAATAATACAGCGTGGACTAAGCAGGTGCAACTTTCACGGCCTGTGCTCAGAGGTGTTGTGAATTCACAAGTGTTTTGAGTTATTCTAAGTTTGGTTTGATCTGTCTGTCCCATTTTGGCATTTGGGGAAAGTCTAGAAACAAGTCTAACACAAAAGCCATGACTGCTGGAAAGAAACAAGTTGCTTCCTGCTACTTTAATTTCCTCCTTCGCTTTCCTGAGCCATTTTTGGGGAAGCAAACTACTAGCAGAGGCAGGCAGAGCCCTTCAGAGGTAGCACTTGCTCATGTCAGTATGGAGCCTTTCATGGTGAAAGGAGTGGGTAAGAGCTGGGTGTGCGGTGGGATGCCCTCTTTGATCCAGCTCGCCACAGAGCCACATAAATGCTAGTGACAGCACTAGGGAGGACTGTGGGAATGAAAGACTGACCCTACAGGACAGGATGAGACCACCGCTTTCAGCAGCAGATCAGATTTATACCAGATTCAGATTATCCTAGAGGTACAGCATGAGTAGTCCCCTTTTCTCACAGCCACTGAAAAACCCAATCAGCACAGGCTGTGCTCATATCTGAATCAACTCCTTTCTTATGGCTTCAGAAATGCAAAGCTGTGCTGCTTGCCAGCCATAGGAAAGTGCAAAACAAGGATCTGAAGCCAGAGCAAGGAAAAAGAAACCAAAGCACTCTGCTGTTCCCTGAGCAGCACTGACTGTCGTGCAATAGGAAGAGGAAGCAGGATATTGAGGCTGAGGGGGGCACAGCAACTTTGCTGATGGACAAGTGCTGGCCAAGATTTCTCCTTGGCAGCAGGCTTCTCTTCTGTCTGTCCCACCTGCTCATTCCTCCCAGTGGCAGGTTTTGTGGATCCACTGCTCTGGGCAATACCTCCCATACTGCAGGCGGCTGGTGGAAGCCTCCCACCCTGCTCCAGCCAGGACAGTGGGTGGGCAAAGGGCTCCAGAACTGCCTCATGGCACACACCTATCCCACAGCAATGGCCTGGCTGCAGTTATCTGAAAGCCATTTGGGTACTCTACTGAATTGGGATTTTCTATCAAAAAGCATGTCCTGTGAAAACCCTTCCTTGTGTCAACCTTGCTCACTTTATCCAGGCAAAAGAGATGCTGGAACTTCTCCAAAGACCTCTTCTGGGAGCACACTCAGCTCTCATCAGCTTCAATACCAATGTCTGTGTGAAATAAGAGGCAGAATTTAGTCCTACATATGCTTATTTGGGCAGGTTCTATTTCCAGAGCTATTATGAAGTGTGGAACCTGCCAAAATATCAATTCCTTTTGCCTTATGATGGCTCCCTGGTGTGTGCCTGTTTCAGCAGGAGTAGGTTAATAAGGAAAGAGCCCTCTGCATTACCTTAGCCAGCTGAAAGGGTGATATCATGCCCTGGGGGCTAGCTACAGTCATCTGAATTTTCCTGCAGACACTAATGCTAATTGGCCATGAAGGCAAAAGACATACCTGCTCTCCTGGTGTGTAGCTTAGTGAGATGAGCAAATCACCATGGGGTGCTTCAAACCTACTCTTCCAGATCTATAGACTGATGTCTCTGTCCCTGAAAAACAAAAGTAAATCTCACCTCTTGGGTGAACAGATTCAACAGTATCATTGTCAGTGGTATTTTACTAGACAGAGAGCTCTGTGTTGTGAAAGCTCAAGTGGAAGTCATACACTTGCTTTTATGGAGCCTTAAAAGATCTTGTTTAAAATCACACAAAAATCAAAAGTTGTAGAAAACTGCACAATAAATTGAATCCAAAATTCTCAGATACGGAAGAGTGTTATCAATTTGCTTTGCAAAACTATAATACAAAGGTCTGATTTCAACTGATTTTTAGCTTTTCTTATGCATAACATCTAGACCAGGGATCTGCCACCAGGAAATTTCGATTAAAAATGTATTTTGAGTCATGCTAGTAAAGTTTACTGAGCAGGATAAGCTACAACACTTTCAAAACATGGTTGCCTGACCTTTGGAAACTCTTCTTGTCACTTGAAGACTTGCTATCCTGCTCACACTCTTTTATTCTTTTCTGCACATATCACTATCACCAGTATGCATACAAGTTGACATGGTACTCTCTTCATCATGTGGGAGAGCTGTTTCATTGTAGGCAGTCCTGGTGATATAAGATGATGTATGAGGTCATAAGATAACAATCAAATCAATGAAATCATCGTCTGGTTAAAAAAGAAAGCAAAACATATGTGAAATAAATTTTAAGCCAACAGAAAGAAAATCTAGTGCTGTCATCACCAGAGTACTCTATCACCTGTATAGAACAGTGCACGTGTGCTGGATGTTCTTGCCACCCAGTTCCTAAAATCATGTGCGTATGGACCAGTCCTATTGCACTCTCATAAAGCACAATAATTTATGCAAGCTACAACTGTGCAGAGAGCAAACCATCCTCATCCAAAGTGCTTTCAGGGAATGTGCAGAAGAAACAATCAAAAGACTTGGAAGGTTCAGGATCAGACTTCTGAGCAAGCAAGAAGCCTTCTTTGGTATAAATAGCTCTGTATCTCTGGAGACTCCTTCCTACCTTTAAAATCACTTCTCTGCCATTGGAGACTGCTACTGTTCTGCTGGGAATCCAATACCTGGGCAGTGGGTTTTAACTATGGGAGAACTACCAATACAGAAGAAACTATTTATATAACTAATTGGTGTCTGCTTTTTTTTTTTTTTTTTTTTTTTTTTTTTTTTTTTTTTATCTCTTTTGCAAGGGGTGTCATAGAATGACCAGGAAGCTGGGATTTCCCTAGCTAATGTAAAAACCCTGACTGAGCGAGCCTGATTTAATAAATCCTGTTAGATTGCAATTAGTGATGCATTAGGTCTGCTCTAGTCTTTCTGTACCTATGGCATAGCTAATTAATAGTCTACACAAACCATCCATAGATAAAGGCTGCTGAGGTCAGAAGTACATGGTACAAATATCTGCTATATCTACCTTCCTATTCAGCAGTTTCCTGGTATTTCATCCCCCCTCCCCAGTCTCCTTCAGTACTAGTACAGGGATGTGCAGCATGCAGCGCAATTCCTTTGGCATATGAGAGAAAGAGGTTGAGAGAAAAAAAACAGCCGGGCAGCATATGCTTCCTCTCCAGGCACATATCTTCCTTGAGAAAAAGGAAGGGATTGCGTTGGTACATGCTGTGTCGGCCTAGTTTTCACTCTTCTGGGATCAAACATACAGGCCTGATTCTGCCTGCAAGCCTCTTGCTGGACATCCCTGCTCTACGTGGTGAAACAGTGCTGAAAAGCAAAAACTTACTAAGTAGAGATTTGGGGTTTGCAAAATGAAAAGTAATATAAGAAGAGAAAGGAAACAAATCTTTCTGCACCCTACAGCAAAGGCTGTTTGAAGTCACCCTGATTTTGCACTGGCAGAAATGAGGGCTGCTTCCTCTACAATTCTGCCCTGGGAATGGCCATTTCCAGCAAGACCTTATGCCCCTACATTGTCTGAGAATGCACTCTCGTTCCTACATGGCACCATGCAAAGAGGTGAGCGATGGTGTCAGAAAGAAGACAACCATGGCAGTGCAGTACAGCACTGAGCAGCCTCTCCCAGCGCGGCTCATTTGCCTGGGTCCTGTGCCATACCGATGTGGTGACGCCACTTCTGTTCCTGCAGCAACCTCATCCACTGCCAGCCCAGACATCTGGCACCATATCTCCTCACACAGACTTGTGTTAACTGTGAAATTTATGAACGGTAATTACCAGTCCACATTTCTAATTCCTTTTACTACTTATGAATCCGCTAAAAACTAGGGAGGGTTAACCATACGCCTCCACAGAAGGGCTGAAGTTGGACTTCTGTCTCTGAACCCAGAGCCTGATGAACGCAGCAAAGATTTGTGCCTGTTAACATCTCTCTCGTATTTCTTCTTCACCCTTTCTTCCTTCCTCCAGCATGTGCTGGCCAGACCTTCTCAAATAGGCACACAGCCACCTACAAGAGGCACTGATGTCATTTATTCACAGTGTTTGACACAGTGACTGTTTGGTCACACAACAAGCCCAGGTGAAGAAGCAGCCTTCAGGTGAACCCTATCACCATCAGCATGACTCACCTGTGCTTGAACCTGAGGGCAAATGAGCTGTGAAAACCTCTGAGAAATTTGGAAGCAATGCCAGTGTGTTGTGGCATTGAATACCAGCACAGTAAACTCACCTCTGTAAAATGTTCCAATTTCACAATGTTTCAGCTACACGCTACTAGAAAACATCTAATATTAAGCCATGCATCACTGTGAGCAGGCTTCTCATTCCTTTGCTACAAAGGCAAAAGTAGGTAACTTGCATGTGATTTATAGGGAAAACTCCAACTACATGAGCGCAACACACCCTGAGCCAGCAGCAGTAAATCCAAGCCTGCTGTGCTCTCAGGGGAATGCTCCATGCAGTAGCCTGAAAAATATGTGCAATACCTTTGAAAATCCTGCGGCTGAGGTTTGGTAGAATATTTCTCACCAACATCCTATGTGGCTACCTGCCTGTGTCAAGAGACTACAGCAGCAACTGCAAAACCTACCTGGTATCAGGCCTTGTATCGGACTTCCCAAATCATCTTTGCATACAGTCAGAAGGTTATCTATGTGTATTAAGTCTGGCTATATAAATGGAGAGAGAGAGAGATGATGATGATATCTAGACTTGAAAAGAAGGATGCTGTAATTTTCTGGCTGAAGTGTTTAAAAATGTTATTGCAGGAATTTGGAAAAGTCCAGTTCAAATTACTAAGAGGAGAGTAAACAATCTCTGAGGCTGGTAAAGGACTAATATGAAACAAGCATTAGTAAAATGAATTATTCTGCATCTGGGCCCTGAGAATGTGGGACGGACAGGCAGGCAAAGTGACTGGAGCAGGCAGTGAAATGTACTCAGGAAGAGGAGGAATTCAACTAGCTGTCATCAATTGTAAGTTGTTTTCCATTTTTATTTATGGAAATGAATTAACAACAACAACAAAAACAATTAAAATATTCTGCTCAGCCCTGAATAAAAAAAGGAACTCATCCCTTGCCATCCAAATAACCCCACAAAATGTGCCTTGCCCTCAGTGAAGCTGCAGGGTGGCGGGAGAGCAAAGGGGAAGCAGACCCCCATGGTGCAGCACTGGGATGTGTCTCCACCACCTCCAGCAGCCAGGCAGCAGCAGGGCGGCTTGTCCTCAGCACAGGGAGCAACAGGGCAACATCCTCCCCAAAGGACATGCCTCTGGACCTTCTGGCCCTTCTGGGTCCATGGGCTGGCCACTTTTGCTCCAGCTGTGAGGGTTTGCTTCTCCCTGTGTTCTGAATCGACTGCTCCAGGTACAGCCTCCCTAGAAAGGTAAAGTCAATGTCAGTGTTTAAACTGATGGCATTTGCCTCCCCATCCTGTATAATATAATCACAACTGCAGAGGGGAAGGAAGAATTAAATCACTCTCAGAAATCTGGGAGATGGCAGGTGTTAGCCTCTTTAATAGGAGTAATAAAAATAATGGCTTCTATTAATATTAGGCATCTGATTTCCAGTGCTGAACAAGAAAAGTGCAATACCTGCCATTTTAAATTACTCCATCGTGTTTTTATTCCTTCCTCTCCCTTTGGGATTTCAAAAATCTTGACGAAATGTGTATGCACTCTTCAAATATTTCCTGAGGCCAGCGGGGTCCATATGCTCTTAGGAACAAGTTTTTTACCCTGTTGGTCATTCCTGATGACAGTTAGATTTTCTGATTGGTATATATTGGCAGCAGAGAGCTAAAAGATGATGGAGGTTTCCCCTTGCATATAATGCAATATTTTCTATGGTTTCTGGGCAGCACAGAAGTAATACATTTTTTTACAAAGATTAAGCAGAACACTTTCAAGTTTGCATTTTTGATTACAGACATAGCTCCTAAATTAAACTGTCGTTGTCAAGGTAAGAATGATATTTTATTTAAACTGCTGCTGAACATATGGTGTTATTTATGCATCAGACGTTCCACAGCAGAAGGAAGTTTCTAAGTCTAATTTATGCTGTTAGTGAGTAGCCAGAAAAAAGATGAGACCTCACTGTTTTTACTAGCTAACAGAGTGCTGTTTTAGATTAAAATAGTTAAGGGATGTATTTTATTGAAGGAAAAAAAAAAATTCTACACAGATTTGTACAGAAACCATGACTAATGTAAGTATAGATCTGTATCCTTCCTCTGCTGTCAGATCTTGCCTATGACATGGTCTCTGTTTGTCCTCAGCAACCCTTTGCACATCACATCCCATAGTATTTTTTTTCTATAATTATTTTTGATGAAAGTATTATTTGAATGGATTGGGATGGAAGAGAGGCTACATGTGGGAAGAGTAGATATATCTGTATTCATCTATGTGTCTCTATTCATGCACTGAGAATTAAGAGAGATTATTCTTTCACTTATATGGAACATGAAAGTGAGCTAAAGTCAAATTTCAAGTCATCTTTACTCTTAACCAGAGACAAATGGCGGACTTAATGTCAACCAATGCACTCTGGGGATTTTTGTTTTAGAATAACAGGAAATGAGAGAGTATGTTAGAAAAAGTTTTTTTTTTTTTTTAAAAAAAATATATATATATATAGACAATTATATTATATTTACATAAACATTTATACATATAAATATAATTTATAAACAATATACATATTATAAACAATTTACATATTTTTTCAGTTCCAAGTGTTCTCCCTTCCTCACCTTCCCAGTGCTGAGGGGGGATTTGAGAACCTATCATTCACCTTAGTGCACTTAACTCAGCTTTATTGTTGGTCTTTAGAGCTACAAAAGCTCACTTCCTTTAAAGTTTGGCCCACCTAATTGCTCTTTATTGTCATTGCTTACTTCCACCAGAACACAGATTTATTTTATTTAAATGTTAGCACTTATATTAAAGAGCTAGACAGGGATCTGCATTACAAAAGACTGCTAAAGACTTGCAAGGTTTTGCTATTAGTCATTCGAAGGGAGATGCTAAGTGTGCTAACATGTGGGAATGGATGCAAGAATTTTACTTTTCAGCCAGAATTTACACACTCTATCTGGAGGTGCCAGGCTGGGGAAGGACAGGCAGAAAAGGCAGCGAGAAAGGGCTCCCCGAGCTGGCCCCAAAACTGTACCTCATCTGGGACATGGAATGGGTCAAGGGCTGGACGTGTCGCTGCCTCAGTGTTTGACCAGCATGGAGAAAGACCGGTGGGGACCATCCAAAATGACCAGCAGGATGAGGCAGCTCGTGGTTTCTAAAGGGTTTTTCATCAAGAGACTCTTCATCAAACAAAGGCACAGAACTGCTGCCTGTTTGAAAGCAAATGCACGTGTTATTGCCACCTACTTCAGCTCCTCTTTGCAAAGTACTCAGGTTTCATTTTCAAAACCATTAAGCACATGTTTATATACTATTCATCACTGTTATAAAGAATTTTCAACAGGATATGAGCAAAGTCAATGAATCTGGAAAGCAGCCATCTGAAAAGTCCTCTGAGCTGAAGTGAGGACATCCAGTAGTGACATGGAAAGGGGCTGTGATGCTTCAAGGGCAGCATACAGTAACATCAGCCTGCACAGATTGACCAGGTTATTACTCCAAGAGCCAAATGGGCCAGCATCAGAATGACTGTACGCTGCCTTTTTCTCATGACATCCATTATTTATCAAATGACACCACTGAACAAAGCGATTTGGGGTTAATTCTCCATCTTTTTTTGTAGCAGGCCTTGATCCATCCGATGTGTTTTTGCATGGGTATCAGCCAAGAGGAGATAGGACCTGACTTCACATTGTCTTTAATGCACAGAAAATGCTCTTACTTATTCTCAAATACTGCATCTACAAAGCAAACGTGAGACATAGATGTGTGTTGTGCATGAATGTATGAAGCAGAGACACACCTGGCACCTCAAGCAGGGTACTCTCAAACTAGTATTTCACACATTGTGAACCACATGAAATGGCCCAATTTCATCAGAATCTGCATGTTTATTTATGCCAAGACCACTATATTTTAAAATATCTGAATATTTTAAAATCCAGTAAGTATGTGGCTGTATTTTTTGATCTCATTTAGACTGTTATAAACCCCAAATAGTGGGGTTTATAACTCAGTGAGATATTGGTGTAAATCAATAGGTCAGAGCTTGCTCTGCCAAACCTCCTTGACTGTAGAGGTGAATAATAGTTTAGCCCTGTCATGAGATGATGGCTTCTCTGTTTGTTTCCCCTGCTTTGATGAGCAGGGATGAACCTGAGGCTTTGTTCTAACACTGTCGGCCTGATACTGCTGAAGCCATCTGCAAACAGCCCTGACTTCTGGCCTACAAAACCCCAGCTATTCCATCCTCAGCTTCTCTGAACAGATCCTGCCAATCATGAGAAATTGTGTGAAATTTGTGGTGAATTTGTGATGTGGAGAAAAGTCCTCTAGGGACTAATTTGACACCATCAGATGCAATTTCCCTTTATTACCCTAAGGCAAGATTTAAACTAGTTTCCAGGGGTGAGAGGTGACTCCATTAACCCGCAGCGCTCGCTGCCACCTAGACAGTCCTGAGCACAGTGAAACAGCCGTGTTACTCTTGTTTTCTCATCTTTTTTTCATTTCCAGGTGGATACCTCTTTTCATAGTAGGGCTGACTTCTACCGAAGCCTTTCTGCAGCCTTTTTTTGGCACAAGAAAACCCAAACAGAGGTTCCATCATTCCAACAGACCTGTATAACCCCATGTGGTTGGGAACAGGGAGGCAGGGCCATGGAGGGCAGCCACACCAGGCCCCAGGTGATGCTCAGGCAGCAGAAGTTGGGGTTGGTGAGAACATGCACACCCATGGGATGCAGAGTTAGCCCAGGTCCTGCAGGGCCACACCAACCATCCTGAAATGAGCCACAGGGTATGTGGGTGACAAGAATAGACAAGAGCCTTTACACCTCAGCTGAGCATCTGCATCTGAGTGACTACATCCACATGGTACCACATCCTCTTGCAGTTTGGGACAGCATGAAGCTTTCCAAGCTGCCTCTCACAGCACCAGACCGGGCCCAGCAGGCCTCCTATCTTGGGATTCACACTCAATAAACCAGTTTCTTTGGTTCTGGATCCCAGCAGGCACTGGAGGCAGTAAAGCTCTATTCTCTTGAAATCACCCCTGAGCTATAAATCTTTAGTGTGCTGTTTGCTTGTGTGCCTATTTATATATGGTGTGTTTACCCTGCTGCCCACATAAGCTGCACACCGGTGACAAATAACTGCACAGATGTTAACGCTGACTAACTACATGTGAGATTGCAGAGTCACATCTATTGCCCATCTTCTATTCATTCAAGACCCAGTTCCAACAAAGTACACTGTGAAAAGTCCATACCACAAGTAAGAACAGAGTTTACTTAAGAGTTCAGTTTGCATATGCTTTCCTTCTCCCCACCCCCTAACTCCTACCGCCCAGTCCTCTTAAAAATTGATCTGTTTAGTTCTGTGCACATGTGTTTCTCCCTTTCACACAGGCACTGGTTCCTACAGTTCATGGTGCTTAAGTAAGGTTTTGCAAAGGACAGAAGCAGAGCTCTTCAGTGTTTCTAGTGATTAGTCAGAAAAGTGAGGACAAAAAAATTAGAACTTTTCTCTTTAAGCTTGGGCATGCAGCAAACTCTTAGTAGGCTGAATGTAAATGGTTTAGCTGAGCCAGGACTCCTGATGCAGCAGAGGCATAACCATCCTGAATGTTCAAATACTTCAGTGTCTGTGTTTGGCAATAATGTGGAAGAGGCACTGCAGAGACAGGAACAAGAGACCCCAGCAGGACAGATGCAACATAATCTCCCTCGCTGCAGTATTCTCCATGGGTTTAATAGGTAGCATAAATCCTGAATGATGAGGTAGTCATGTCTCTTTTCAAATGCCTTTTCACTTGTCAGGAAGAGCTGTTAAGTGAATTAAAATAAGCTGGTTTAAAGAAATGGAAAAAAAAAAATGAAATAAAAATATTTATATATGGAATTGGATAGGTTTGTCTTCACCTATTTAGCTAAATTAGGTGAAGCCAAAATGCTGGGGACTGATGATTATTGCAAAATAATCTGTATGAAGACTGGTTATAAATTTAAATTTAATTAGCTATCCGTAAATGGTTTTACATATAAGAGTCCTGAGGCAGACAACTGGAAAGATTCTGCAGCCTGGCTCACCTGAGAGTACAAATCTGGGCCACAGTGCTTCTGATGACAGCAATGCATTTCTATGGTTAGCTAGCATCTTGTGGTTTTATAGTGCTATTCAGTGTCCTTCAAGAACCATCCTAAATTTTTGTCACATCTTCTGCCTTTTTCTTCCTCCAAGGTACTGTGAAAGGCAGGCTCCACTGCCATGTAAAAATGTTTGCCACACACTCCTCCAGGAGGAAACAAGTTGAAGGCATCTGCTTTCAAGATCAACAACTGGTTTGGGAAAGAAGAAGGAAAGAAGAAAAAAAAAATAATTTGTTTGAGCTGAATTACTGGCACTACTGTTTTCACCTCTCCACAACCTAGCTATGACTTGCAGAGCATCCTGAGTTAAGAGTTTATAATTCCAGCTGAACTTAATGGGAGTATTTACACAAGAATTATGTTGCAATAGCTAATAGGCCTGCTTGTGGACAAGTCTGTTTTGCTGTGTCTGTACTGATTTTGATCCAAAGAACATTCCCACTGCTGCAGTTCCACCAGTAGGTAGGAACAACTGCAGCAGTGCTGTGAATGACCCCTGCTAATTGAACAGTAATATTGTCTAATTGTGGCCCAGGAGAGACTGTGGCTACTGCTAGCTTGTCTACACCAAATCTCCCAGCATCAGTACCACAGTGCAAGTTTTGCTGGTGGGCAGCTTGTAAGGATAACTGTGGACAGTTACCCTCTGTTTCAGCTTTTTTCATGGACTTGATGATAAAAATAATGGTATTTCTCAAAGTTACTATACAGACAAGTGAACAAATGCTTATAAAGTGTTTTGAAGCAAAAGAGTATGAAATGTTCTATTTCATTATAAAGGGGTACATGCAGCAAAGACAGCAGCTATTTTCTTTAAGCTAAGCAAAACATACTTTTATAATGTTCTACTAATGCTGGGTTTTGACTGTGAGAGAGGGCAGTCAATCAGTGTACATAAACAATGACAGCAAGAGATGCACTTCCTCTTAATGAGCTTTGGAAAAACTAATCCATCTCATGTAATAACAAAAAGAAAAAAATAAGGAGGGAAGAGAGAAAGAAAGAAAGAGACAGACAGACAGAGAAAGAAAATATGTTCTTTGAGCCAATGTAAGGTGTACGGCGATGTTTCATATTAACCCCAGCTTCCTCTTCATCCAGCTGACTTCTTCGAAAAACAGCTATACCTAGTCCTATGGCCCATGGTGTTCCTCAGGGAAGCTCATTGTTATGGTTAGAAAGAGCTAAAGGAAAAATATTGCTGAGGAATTTAAACAGATTTTTTTTTCAACCTGGCAGCTTTGTAAGAAAAGGGGATGCATTGAAGTTGAAGTTTCTCATGGAAATAACATTTATTTATTTATTTATTTATTTATTTATTTATTTATTTATTTTTGGTTGATGCTATCAGGAAAGATGGGAGAATTTCCAGCAAGGCCCAGACAGAAACCACTGGATTGCCTTGGGCTGGGTTAGGTTAGGTTAGACCAGGGCATCTTCTGAGGATACAGAGATCTAGAAATCAAACCCCTGTCCCACCTGGCATGAAACAAGAATACCGATGTGGCTCACCCCTGCCATCGCCAGTGATTTCTGATCAACGACTTGCCCTTTCCCAAACCACCTGCGACTTATCCAGCAAGGAGACTGTCACAGGGGAAGAGAGATCTTCCAGCCTTCAGTGACAGAGACATTCAGATGATATGTGGAGACCTAGCTACCCATCCCCGGGGCCCATCAGAGCTGCCTGAGCTGGCTGGGAGACAGAGAGTTTCTCTGGAGCTCAAAACCTGGGAAGAACAATGATGGCAAGACGCAAAGGATAGGCTGCAAAAGCCTGCATCAACATGGATGAACACGGCTAGGTCAGAGATGTCCCATTCAGTTTCTCACTACAGACTCAATAGCAAATGTAATGACAAAGAGAAACGTGAGCACAGTCTTTCCACACTACAGTCATGCACCCTCATCACCTCCAGAGGCACAGGCATAGGAAGGGAGGGGAGCAGTGCTTTCCAGGGGCTTCTTCAGATTGCCTCAGGCCTTTGTGAAACAAAAGCAATAAGGATAATTTGGGAAATATCAGTGAGCTAAAATGGAATTTCCCATGCTCTACCAGTTGCCTGAACTCCCCTCTGCATTTTCTTTTGTACACAGCAGTGCAGAAGGGAAATTATTTCAACTAACTTCAGACACCTACACATTTTAAAGCACGATTCAACTCAGCTCTTTTAGATGTCTAGCTCTTTAGATAAACAAATCACTTGTAGAAATCCTGTCTTATTATTTCTCTTATTATGAAAGCTGCCCAGGTGACAGATATGCAGATATGTGGTCAGATCAATTCCACCCACAGGTGACTACTCCCTCTACATCCTTCCCATTTCCCCCATCAAAAAACAAAACAAAACAAAACAAAACACAGATCCCCTCAAAGCACAAGGCTCAGCACAAATTGGGCTCTGCTTGCAGAGTCGCACCAGGATGTGTTCATTGATGAGTGAAACCAGGTTGAAATTCAACTGCTAGCTCTGGCCTCCCACTCATTATCTCTGCTTGGTGTTTAGATCTCAGGGAATTTGTGGAGTTTCTGGGCTGCCAGATACCAGATAGTCTTTTCTGTGAGGCAGTGCATGTAATTCCTTCAATGATTGTGGAAGAATCTCTAGAAGGGAACCTCATGAGCATTGCCCTCTCTCTCTTTTGAGGAAAAAAATCGAATTCATAGGTTGTCTGACAAATGCTTGTTTTCTGCTGTTGTCAGAAAGCCAGGAGACATTTAGCAGCTGTAACCAGTGGAAGCTAAATAAACGCAGAAAAGTTTCCAGTCTGCTGCTATGCTGGATACGTATGCAAAGTGAGGTTAAAGAGAGGTAGCTCTGCCCCAGGAGAGACTGTCCCACTGAATAATTTTTGAAGTAGCACAGTCCTCCCTCCCCTCCATCTCTGTATATGTTTAATTCTTATGTTTAATAATATGTTTAAATAATATGTTTAAATAAATATTTAAATATGTCTAATATGTTTAAAAACAGTCTAATGACCACTGCAGAGCAAGGATAGTAGATAGGATATTCAAATAATAATTCAATGTTAAAAGTGAACTTACTTTTTTAAAGTAGGATGCATCCACAACCTTCATCCAAGATAGTAGCATATGGCTGATGGGATGTTACATCCAATTCAAAGTTACATTTCTAAAGCAAATTATTCATGTAAGGGACTTAGTGTGTCACCAGATACCAAAGCCATAGAAAACACTGTAGAAAGTGATCTTCAATACAAGCCATACTTCCATTTCTTCGGTATGTGAAACTCTTTTACTTTCTTTTTTTTTTTTGCTTTTTTGCTTTTGTTTCCTAGGACTCTGTTTGGTTCAAAGCTAAAACTGGTATTTGCTAGTTTCAAAGGCTATTTATTGCTGTGACAGTGACACATCACTCCAAGTAATGCCTCTTAAGTACTATTAGCACGTATCTGATCTGAAAATGTACAAACACATTCAAACAAAAATGCCACATTAATAGACAGGCCTAAAATAAATAAACAGGAAGCAAACAGAATGTTTTAGAAGAGGGATCTACAGTTGAAATACTTTAAAGATAAATAAACTTTTAGATTTGACTCCCTCTAGAGTATTTCTAAGGAAAAGCTTGATACGGGAGATTTCTTTTTTGTTGCAGAAACTCCCCCACGGCAGTCCTGTAGAGATGTAATCCTCTCTAAGTGCAGCCCCTTTGTGCCCAGTAGCTTTTCTTCAGCAAAGCCCTCTCCTGGTGCCAGCCGAAGCCAGGCCTTGCAGGGCTCAGACCAGAGCATGTCACTGAGACTGAAAAACAAAGGAAGATCTTCATTTTTAATAAAAGTTGAAATAGCCATAGCAGTGCATGGCTACATTTTCAGGAAAGAGAATCAAATCCCTCCTGTCTTTATAAACTAACAGCAGTAGGATTGCTTTCCTTTGGTCTGTCCTGATGAGTCAGACCATAGTAGACCCATGCCTATAGGGGACCTGTTGTGGGACAAAGCCATCATTCACTTTGACCCTTGGGGTCAAAAATCTCCTGCACTGGAGATTCAAACAAGCTCAATACAGTACTGCAACATCTGCAGATCCCACATGTGTACTTTTATAAAAGGAAGATCACTCATCTAGTTCAAAAATAACATTATCATTGTAGCTACTGAGGTCTTCACAACCATTTCAGTTGAACTCCCTCAGATCCGTTGGGCACAACACAAGAACCAGAAGTGTTTGGCCATGGTCTGTGCCTGCTACTAATCCCACTACTGCTCACTCTGGGGGAGCTGCAAAGGATTAAGTAGTAGTCAGATAATCAACAGAAGAAAAGGTAGCACAGAAAAAAGCCACTCAGTTTTCAAGAAAGAGCATAGTGGAAACAACATCCACTCTTCCAAAGAGTTTATATCAATGTGCCTAATGAAAAACAACAGGACATCAAATATGTTCCATATTGAGAATGAAGGACATGCATGATTGTTCATCTCTCTTCACCAGGCACTAGGATGGAAAAATACCTACCTGGAGAAAAAAAAAAAAAAAAAAAAAAGAAAAAAAAAAAAAAAAAAGAAAAAAAAAAAGAAAAAAAAAGTGTGCTGTAGATGCTTGGATTTGAAAATACAGAAACTGGATTTCTCACAAACTAACTCCATCACTTCTCAGCATGTGATGAACTCTCAGTTACTAGTTTTGTAAAGCATTAAAAGAAAAAAAAATCTTTTTAGTTGTAGAAATGTGCAGATAAATTCAATCTGACTACAACTCTTGTACTGCACTGCAGGCCCTCCAGGAATAAATTTGGATCAGTATGCCATAGACTCCAAAGGGTCAACATGACATATTGCATCATATCCCCCTACACGAAAAAGAATTCACTAACAAACATCACTTCCAAAAGTGCTCCTTTATTCCCCTTTCACATTATAGTTTCTTATGAAATATTTTAGTGGATAGCTTTGGTGCTTTGCCACATTTCTCTCAATCTATTTATAAATGTTTGGTTGGAAAGAAAGTAAACATTATGAGACAAACACTTTATAAACCTTAGTTATTTTCTTATAATACTCGAACTGGAATTGATTTTGTTTAAAAATAATAATAATCCTGAACTGCTGTGCAGAATGGCACAAAATCTCCCACGCTTGTTAAAACACAAAAATGAAAAAAAAAAAAAATCAAAAAGCATAAACCAAGGGTTTATACCTCATCTGAGAACATAGAAATGATGTATTTTACGAGAGAAAAAAAGAGGGCCTGCCAGGTAGACTGCATCCTGCATAGTATGTAGCTGGTAACAGCCTTCAGGGCAACCACCTTTGCTTGATTATGACTCGAATTGACTGATATCCCGCTGGAGAAACATCAGCAGTGATGAGCCTGTAATGTCCCCCCTCCCCAGTAACGGATTAAACAAATGTTTCACACCTTAGGGCTCTCTGCCTCCACTCGGAAAAGGAAAGCACAACTGGGTTCCCAGGGCAGGAGAGCGCTGGCTCCTCTGCATGCTGCTGCAGCGAAGGGCTGTGATGGCTGCTAATGCACCCTTCCCACCCCACCAAACCCAGAGAGTTGCTGCTTGTTTATTTAAATGACACTGTTGTTTGAAAGGATGGGGGCTTCTTATCCTCTTGAGTCATGCATTCTCTGTCTGGGATCCTCTGTTTAGGCACTTTTAGCACCTCATTAATTACTAACTGCAACAAAGTCATGCTGTTTTGCAACTCTATTGCCTTTGTTAAGAAATCTCTATCCTGTGTTAGAATGTGAAAGGGGACTGTTATCTACCATATGCCCTGCTTGACTCCATATTACAAAATTAGCTTTCGAGTTCCTGAAATACATATACATGTGCTCTTTGTATCCGTACCCCATGGTTAAACAGCCTGGTTTTCTTTAAATAGCCTGGCAGTAATGCTTGTAGAAGCTACTGTTGTAGATAAAAAACACTCTGAGCTCCGTACGTTATAATAAATATTTGTCCAGGAAGACACAACTTCTTAACAAAGATTTTTTTAAGTCCTGGTATAAAACTCAGCTCCAGATGCCTTGTTATGAATCTGTGGGTACTATAACACTCTCAAATAGTTAATTATTAAAGATAAGTAACCTGCAGACTAAGCAGATGGAGATTTTATTTCACCTTTAGAAGGTGGGTCAGTAGGGTATTATCATCTAAGGAGCAATGAAACTCTTCTCTGCTATGCCCTGACTACTATTACTGTGTGCCACTCTGCAAGGACATAAAGTGGTTGGTATGAGAAGCTGGATCCAAACAGGGACTTTGACAGCTGTGTGGAAAACTGCGATCTAAGAATCATCCTCAGCAGCAGCTTAGTCTAGAAGCACCCAATTAAATGCACAACATCCTTCCTTGTTTGGGGTGAATGCTCTTCGGTGTTCAGCCCTGTGGAGACCCAGAGCTGACCCAGGCAGGACTCCTGGGTGAGCAGCTTGAGGGCCAAGGACGAGCAGGGCAGAGCACAAATGCTCTGCAGATCTAGACCCAGCCACCGGTTGGACCCCTCTCAACAAGCTGTGTGCAATAACTTCTTTATAAAACAGGGACAGAAAAAAAGTGGTAGTGAGAATGCTTTTGCTTAGTGGTTAGGACACGCAGCCAGGAGATACCAGTTTTCTGCTCATAAGGACTGTTTTCATTTAATGCGAAATGTGCAAGCAATCTTAGAGAGAGAGACGAATTAAGACTTCCCTTCATGTGCCTTAAAACTGTCTCCTTCTAATGGTTTGACGCAGTGAATCTGGTTTCCTTTGCCATGCAGTGGAACGGCTGCAGCAGGAGGAGTGACCCCAGATGAAGTGTCCCATAACCAGGAGCCAGGGGTGCAGGCTGTAGCTCATGCTGAAGGTGTACATGGAGCATGCTTTCACCCCCTGGCCAAGGGTCATAGCCACCAGGGACAATCTCTTGTCAGTGGATTCAGGAAGAAAGGAGAAAACAAACTCAATTTGTTGAAGGAAAGGATGTGGCTTTCTGCCCTTATGGGGAGACTGGCTGGATCAGGCATGGATGGATAACCAGCAAGGCAAAAAAAAAAACAAACAACAAAAAAAAAAAACAAACACAAAACTGTTGGCCGTATAGTTTCCATATAGCCAGCTCCTGCTGTCTTTCAGTTCATGGTAAATGTTGGTTTTCATTGCAATTTAGAGGTGTGTGCCTATTTCTGCTTTTTTTTCAGGGCTTTTAAGTATCATAGGGACATGGTTTAGTGGGTGACATTGGTAGTAGGGTGATGGTTGGACCAGATGATCTTGAAGGTCTTTTCCAACCTTAATGATTCTATGATTCTAACTGTTGAGTTTTTAATGTCACTTGGAAATTCATACACCTAAAAGATTAAAAATATTACTCCTAGGTTGCTGGTGCCTGTATGTTTCATTAAATCTTGGCTTTCAAGCTGTAACTGATGTCTGTTTAGTAGCTTGTTCAATGAAGTAAATGATGATAGTTCAGCAGAAGCTCCACATCACTAAATGATTGCTGTTCCACTGCCAGCCATCAGCACCATATGAAGAAGAATAAAGTCCTGAACTGAAATACAGAGAAATTCTTTCCAGTCATGAACAGCAGTCAAAAATATGCTTGAAAGTACACAAAGTGGTGATGCTCTGACTGAGGAAAGCAGGTCTCTTCATGACAGGTACAAGGGCTTATTTCAGTTCAGATGATGCCACTGCAATATAAGTATCTGCTTCTTGCTCTTCAGGCACAGGCACAGACATCAGCTCACGCTAAGAAGTTTTTCTCAACAGAGGACCATGTCTGTGGTGCATCAGAGGTTAGCAGAGAACATCCTTCAAGACTACTATTCTGCAGTCTTTCTGGACCTTCAGATTACGCCTTGAAACATGCAACAAGAGCATTTAAGTACAGAAATGTTTCTTGATTGCTCAGCATTATCTCCCTAATACAGTCATATGTTACTGAAATATCACACAATAATTATCAGTGATACCAACGTTTAGTGAAGGACTACCTGACTGCAGCACAGTGCTCTGCAACACAGCAGGCAGCACATCCACCAGTGGTGCCTGGCATATTAAGTCAGTAAGTGAGGTAAAGAGCTCCCTGTAAAGTACGACGAGGAAACTGAGGAAGCATCAGGTACATCAAGGTCATGTTTCATGCACTACATTTGAGAGTGTTGTCTCTGTGACTGAGGAAAGAAGCCAGAGGTAGGCTTGGGTGGTGGTACTGCTGAAGAAAGAGGTAGAGGGTGTAGGGAAGCTGTGATGAGAGCTGTCAGTCCTGCCAACCCTGACATGCTTGTTTAAGAGGGACTCTGCTGCTGTTTCCCTATATTTATTAACAAGAAACCCGGTACCCCAGGCAGACCTGCTGCCCCTCCTGGTATCATACAGATGAGCTACCCCAGGGCAGGGCACCCCATATTTGCACACTCCATGCCTCATGTCATGACAGTGGCTGCCCACTGAGGGCAAGGATTGTATCAGTGCTACCTTTCCATACAGATGTCTTGTAGATGCAGTACCTGACTATGTTTGATGCAGTGACACCATATTGTAAAATATAGTCTGAAATGAAAATAGTCCCACCTTCCTGTCTAATGCAATTGATTCCAGGTCATATGTACCATTACTTACATACAGGACAGCCCAGGATAATGAGTCAGGAGCTGTCAATAGCATGACAGGAGGTAATGAAAAGAGTTTGGGATCTGCTCATCCTGTTTGAAGTACAAGGGTTGCCCTTGTACTTCAATGCCCCTGATGCCCTTCCTCCCAGGTGAATACTCTGTGTTTTAAAAGAAAATGAGACGGTGTTTTGTAGGCAGAGTAATTTCATTGCTGTGTTTCTAAGCTTGTTCCTTGTGAGGGAACTTGGCAGAGGAATTGTCCATGCCTGGGACCTAGGGAGGTGGAAAAGTGCTGGGCCTGGGCAAGAACAACCTCAGAAGCTCAGAAGAGGAGCCTTCAGATCAGTTTGAGCTGAACTGCCTCAGGACTTCCTGGCAAGTGGATGTGGTGGCTGAGGACAGCTGAAATTGGAGCACAGGAGCTCCGCACCATGCACCATCATCTTTCTTCAGGCCTGTCTGTTCGTCTGCGTGCACACAGGACTATATGCATATCATGCCTGCTAGGGGATGAGCACACACGTGAGAAGATAGGCTTCTTTTCTACTCTCTGCCTTTCTGAAGGACACTACATCTATGAATTCAGTAGTGTGATTGCTTCATAGACCCCTTTGAGACACTTCCTGCCCTTACTGTCTGTTTTACACATCAGGCTTTTTATTCCTGGCTTGTCATGCTGAAATAGATCAGGGAACCAAATGTGCTGGAACAAAACCATTTCTATTTTTATTTATTTATTTATTTTTGTGGGATTTCACTTTTTTTTTCCAGCCAGATATTTCCCTAATCCAGTGTGCTACTGCTAACGCTTGGGCCAGCACAGCCCAGGAAGTGGGAACAAGCGAGTCACTTGGGCAAGTGTGGGATCTACCTAGGGGGACATTCCTGCTAAAGAATCTCACTGGAACCACAGCCAAAGTGAGAAAGCAATTAGGCTTCTAACTTAGGTGCCATGAGTCGTCCTCCCAACTACTGGAATCACAGAGAAGCCAATGCCTGAACAAAAGAATGTGTCAGAGTCCTGTGAAACCTTTGTTGTTCGTTACTCATATCCTGCAGTTTTACCCAGTCACAGCTTTACTTTACCTCATGGGCCGTCGCCACAGGAAAAGTACACTTGTGTAAACTGGTGCATGAATTTAGACCTGTGCAGTTATTCTGGTGTTGCCTTCCGAGTGGTTAGTTATTCTAGACCAAAAGCATTTTTTTTAAATGTATCATATATCATGAAAGTGTTTTGTTAATCACCTCTGTTCTAGGCTGAGTATTTACACCTAAACTACATGAAGAATCCCACGGCAATGCTGAAATTTTTACTGGAAGATCAGAGCTGCTGTAGGCATAGCTTCTGCAAAGACAGAACAAGAGGTTGGTCTCCATCCCAAAGGCTTTACAATCTGATTGCAAGACCAAGAGATGACAAACTGATAGATGAATAGAGGGAAACAATGACTTAGCATGGTTTTGATCATCCTCATGTTAACTGCTAAAGCTTTCTCTATGCTAAAAAAAAAAAAAAAGTTCTCAGTTTCATTTTGAGGCCTTCCTGTTGGACTTTCCTAACTGAATTGCATCTGGAAGATTTGTACTGCAGAATTTGCCCATGTGTTTTTCCCAACAATTCTCCTTTTTTTTTCCTTTTTTTTTTTTTTTTCCCTTTTGTACAATAAAGCAACATTTCAGTGTCATCCAGAGGACCAGATCCAAACCTCTCTTGGACTGATGAAGGGTCAAGCTGACAGCAACAAGCTTTGGACTTGGCCCAGACTGACATGCTAATTTAGGGCCCAATCCTGCAGGCTTTGATTACGCTGAGATTTCATTACAATTACAGAATTGCACAAGTCGGAGATGGGAAAAATCAATTAGGTCATCTGGTCTATTCTTTGCCAACGTAGGATTGTTCCCTGTTGCACATTTTATTAACTTTCTGCCATTATGTCTTTTAAATATTTAAAGCATAAAGGTGTTATTAAAAATATTGGGACTGGACCCTTAGGAACAACTTTATTTGGAAAACAAACACAAAACAATAAAACAAAAACCCCAACACATTCTCATAGCTTTAACCTACTGTGAGTAATTTCACATCATTCCTTTCTTTTGGTTTATTTAGACTACACAATTATAATCCTCTGTTTGTGATATTAACAGCTTTTGAGAATGCTCATGATGTTGCAGAAGATTAACCTCCTAAATTGAATTTGACTAAAGAACAAATGGGTTATGTTAGGAAACATAACAGAGAAATGTAACAACTGTCAGATCTGGAAATGTGGAAAAGAGTAGTAATACAAACACACACGCACACACATACACATACACATACGTGTATATGTGATTTGGGTTATTTCTTATTCTTATTATTCTGTATGTGTGCCTCCCTGCATGTCTTCCCCACTCCATGCCTGCCTCCTAGTTTGTATGGGAAAAAAAATAAAATAAAATCTAGGGCAAAGGCTGTAATGATTTGGGGTCCTGGGTAGTGCCAAGAATATTGTTAGTGATTAACAAACAGTGAAGGCGTTGGATTGTGCAACCTTCACGCAGGATGAGGGCTCCATTCCTCCAGCCCTTCTCACTTGAGCAGGCATTACTGACCCGCATCTACTGGGATGCTCAGTGCTGGGAGTCTTATCTGTGTAATCTGCACCAGGAGCAGCACCTGAAAAATAAGGATCTCATGTTTGACGCTGTACCATTTCCAAATTATGTATCAGAACTAATCCAAGACCTTTATTTCTTTACCATGCTTCCCAAGTTGAAAAGGCAAATTAACAACCCTTTTGTTCACTTACACAAACTATTTCCAGTCTGGAGAAGAATGACAAAGGGTTAGTATTCAGCTGTCCTGTTCACATGGCTAGTTTTTATGACCAGAGTGCCATTTTAAGCAAGCACAATAACAGCTATTAATTGAATATTATTATCTTAAAGTCTTTTTTGGGACATAATCAAGCAACGTGAGCTCACCTCTTTTTTCCACCAAGTTATTAGCTATTCTGAAAATTAAATATACTATTTTCCAGCTACGGAGAGTTGGACAGTGAAACCACTGGGCAGTTATTGCAATAGTGAAAGAACCATGCACTTTGATTAACAGGCAGTTATTTTTTAAAAAGTATTTCAAAAACTTCTCCTAGCTGATGTTAGGGTCTCCGGCTGCACGCAGTTCATTAAAACAGGGGGCTCCAAAACCCTTGGCTTCCTGGAGCTGCCCTGGGCCACCAGCTGCTCCCCCAGCTCCCCATCTCTGCCATCCAGCCCAAAGCCCCAGGATAGTCACGGAAACACCCCATTAGTCAGTTCTGACCCCAGGACCCTCAAGGCCTCTGTGGGCTGGGCTGCTGGCAGCCTTGACTTGGCCACCATCGCTCATCACCAGCATGGGCAGCACAGCACTAAGGCACAGCTCCGCTCTGGAATGAGCTTCTTCCACACATTTCAGCGATATAAATCTTCTCCTTTTATCGCAGGGCTGCAGTAACTGTTTATGAGTTTGGTTTGTTATTGCCGCTGGCTTTTTTTATTTTTGCTTTCTGCTTTCCTTCCCCTAATGGAGCGCTTTGCAGGGGGCAGCCCAGCCCTCCGGCATCCTCTCGCTCTGCCTTGTAGCAGAGCCCAGCTCGGGTCAAGGCAGGGATTTTTGTCCCCCGTGCCCTCTCCCCTTTCTGCACCCCACGCGTGGTGGGGACACACGGGCAGGCAGGGCCGGGGGCGCAGCAAGCGGAGTTTCTCAGCCGCGCTTTGTCAGGGCAAGGGGAGGGAGTGCACTCCCCGCTTGTTTAATGTTTTCCTTATGTTTCTCGCCGAGCGTTTATTTTTTGACATGCTTTCTCTGCCCGCTGGTGCTAATGCTGTTCGAGCGAGCCGTCTGGCTGGCTGCAGGTTGGCTCACACGCGTGTCCCGTCCTTTCCCCGCAGCCCTGTTTATTTATGCCACTCGCCTGGCTCGCTCCAACGTTTCCACACACGCACCAGCACACAAGAAGTCTCAGTCTCCAGCAAAACAAAACCCGACAGCGAGGCGAACGGGCTTTCTTCGTGTCAGCATAGCCCCTCAGCTTGTCTGCCGAATTACTTTTATTTTATGCCTCTCTGGCAATCCCACCCCATCCGGCTCAAGTATCCTGGATTAGAAAGACTTTCCCCAGAGTCCTTTTCAAAGGGAGCCTCCCACAGACCTTTAAATCCCCCACATTTTATGGTGCAGATATTTAACAGCTCTGAGAGGGGCACGGGGGGAGAGGCCGAGGAAAACAGTTACAAATCGAGCGGCTGCTCCTCACACCGCCCAGGCTCCTGATGCCATCAGCGCCGTCTTACTCGGCTTTCCCCCCTCTTTTCCAGCGATAGCCGCTGAGATAAGCGGCAAGTCGAGCTTGGGTCCAGCCAAGCAGCCAGTTTCCCCCTTCTCTAAGTCCCCCCTCCCCCCAAAAAAGAAACCCTTGCCGCAGAAAGGAAACGCGATACCCTTCTGTCAGACAGCCGGCCGTGCCTCGCCTAGGTGCGGCTGAGCCGTGCCCCTGCTGCCGGGGCTGCGCTGGGGGTCCCGGCGGCGGCGGGGAGGGCACCCCCGGGGCACGGTTCGGGTCGGCACGGCTCGGGACGGGACGGGATGGGACGGGAGACCCCCACCCTCCTCCCCATCCCCATTTCGATCCGTGGGGGCGTCGGGGCGCCGCACGGTGCGGGTCCCCCCCCGGCAAAGTGCCGCCCCCCGCCCGCCCCCGCCGCAGGAGGATGCTCGGGCGCAGCCGCCCCGCGGGGGCCCGGCCGGGCTCGGGGAGCCTCCCCCCGCCGTGCGGGGCGCCTCGGGCTCGCCTCCTCCCGCCCCGCCCCGCCCCGGGGCCGCTCCCCCGGGGCCCCGCAGCGGAGCGGCTCCCGCGGGCGGCCCGGGGGCTGCTCGGCGGCGGGCGGGGGGCCGGGCCCACCTGCGCCCGCCCGGCGGCTGGCGGTGCCCACGGCGCAGAGCGAGGCTGCTCCGGAGCGGCGGCGGCGGCGGCGGCGGGGCTGGGTCCTCCTCCTGCCCCCCCCCGGCGCTCCCGCCCTCGCACACTCCTCTCTCTCGCACGGCCGTCCGTCCGTCCGTCCGTCCTGTCGGCACCTCGCCCGCCCGGCGCACGCACGCAACCCCCCGGCGCCCCCACATCATGCTGCCGGCCGCCGGCACGGCATGGACCCCGGCGGCGGCTGCACGGCTCCTCTCCGCTGCTGAGACCCCCCTGAGGTTTGCGGCAGGTAGCGGGCCGGACGGTTTCCAAGTGCAATAGGGAAAAGCGGAGGGGCGAGGAAAAGGATTTAAAAAAAAAAAAAAAAAAAGGAAAAAAAAAAAAGGAAAAAAAGAAAAAAAAAAAAAGGCAAAGGCCACCAGCCCAGCCAAGCCAAGCTTTGGATCTCAGTGCAGGTATTTCTGCTGCTGTGTTCATCCCTTGCCGCCTAGCACCCCGATTTTTTTTTTTTTTTTATTATTATTTTTTAAGGAAAGGAAAAAACAAAACCAACGAAAAGGAGAAGTCGAACTCTCAAAGGGTTACTATGCAATTGCGACTGCTTTCTTGGTTTTTTATCACTTTGAACTTTATGGAATACATTGGCAGCCAGCACGCCTCCAGGGTACGGCGACAGGGAAGAAGTAAGTGCGAAGAGATTTATACTTTGATAACTTCTGCTTCCTCTCGTTGTGCCGTTCACCTGCTCGGGAGCTCCGTGTGCCCCCGGCGCCTTTGCTAGCGCTAGGAAGCGAGTCCCGCGCCCGCGGCGCGCCCGAGCGGATTTGCTGCGGGAGTTTGGTTGAGTTGGAGGGGTGATGGAGGCGAGCTCCCAGCCCCTTCTGCTTTGCTCTCTCACCTCGCCGGGATGAGCAGCGCCGGCTCCGGGAAGACCTGCGTGTGCTCCTAATTTTAATGATGTGCGGTAAAGGGGAGCTCTGCCTTTCTTAGCACTTCCCAAAGGGAAAGCAGGATGACGCGACAGGTAACTTTGGTTTTGGCCGCGATGCCCCGAGCGTCTTTCTCCACCCTCGGACACCGCTTAGCGATCCGGGGAAGGACGGAGAGGGCAGCCCTCTCCACAAGAGCCCCCGGGACGGACCAACACTGCAGAGCAAGCCCACCGACGGGGTGAGGGGGGGCTAGGAGATCCTCCAGCCTCCACTCACCGCGGTGGCACCGTCCCGGCTCGCCGGCTCTGCCCGGGGACTGCCACTCCAGATTTCGGACAGTTTTTAGTGCCCCTGGGACGGAGGCAGTCTGACCGTCTGACCCAGCCGGCCCCGATGCCCGCTGCAGCAGGCACCCGCCCGGGGCCGGGCTGGCAGCGGGAGGTTACCGGGAGTCCCGGGGCAGCACCCGGAGGTCCCGGGGCAGTACCCGGGGCTGCCGGGCTGGGACGCTGCTCCGGCCCGAGGTGAGGAGGGTCCCTGGGAAAGGCGCCTGCAGGACGGCGCCTGGGGCACCGGGGGGGCTCCGCAGTGGGGACGTGCCCCGGACCCGGCCACCCCCGGCAGCTCGGGGCAGCCACTTTTCGCGCACCGACGGCGGCGGGACCGCTTTGCTTGCGCCTGCCGGCGGCAGATGCCGGGGCAGTGTCAGAAAACACGGCAGCCTGCATTTAATCAGCGAGGGGTACGCCGAGTTACCTCCTCGGGGAGGGGGCGGGGGGTGCTGTTAGTATTATTTTTTTTTTTTTCGCTCTGCCTTCGCTCCCTTCCCCCGAGCGCCGCTGCCAGCTCCTGAAAGCCTCCTTTGTGCGCTTCGCCTCCCCGCACAAGCTCCGATTCACCCACGGAGCCCCTGCAGCGGGGCGCAGCACGGTCCTGCGCTCCCCACGGCGGAGGGAGCACCCGGGGCTAAGCAAAACACGTCAGGGTTGGCCGATTTATTGTCCTTGGCAAGGGAGCGCCCCGCAGCCTCCATCCCTTCCCACCCTCTCCTTTAACCCTGGCAGCCGCCGTCCCGCAAGCTGCGGCTGCCCCGCGCCCCACAACGCGCGGGGGGCCCCCGACGGCCCCCGACGGGCGCCGTGCAGGGCTTCGGCCGGGGGGGAGAGGAGGGACGGGACCCCCTGGGGGGCAAAAAGGGACACCGCGGAGTCCCGGCGGCGGGGACTAGCAGCGGGGGCAGCCCCGGAGCACCTTGTGCGCGCCGTGCCGTGCCGAGCCGGGCCCAGAGCCGGGCCAGCGGCGACCTCTGCTGTCCTGTGCCGCGGCGGGCAGCCGGCGGCAGGTGCGACGCGGCTCGGCTCGGCTCGGCTCGGCCCGGCTTGGCCTGGCTCGGCTTGGCCCGGCCGCTGCCCCGCGGAGGTCGCCAGGCCACTCCTATGGGGGACCGGGCAGCCGCCGTGCTGCCCCGGGCTGCTGGGCGCAGAGCAGCCGCTATTTGCTAGCATCGGGGCTGCCGGGTGTGAGTGTGCGTGTGTGTGAGCGCTTGTGCATGTGTGTGCTCCTCGCTTGGTCCGGCCCGGGTCTTTCGTAGCTCCCCTTCTGTAGGTGCGTAACTTTCGGGAATGACAGCTGGAATTGCTGGCTGAAAAAAAAAAAAAATTATAATAATAATGCTGGTTTGATGCATAGGGAAGGTACCAAGAAGCTGCTCACAGTTTGCTGCTTGAAAGATGGGAGTTGAGCTAAATCCACAGTGGAATAAGTGGTGGGAAAAAAAAAAAAATCTCAGATAGAAATAGTTGGGATGGAAAGCTGGCTCCTTGTTTTGTAAGGGAAGGTAAATAACCACCAGAACATCTCACCTAGGCATGGTGCACCTCATCCGCTGGTTGAGGTCTTCAGATCAGGCTGGCTGTAAGAGATGCTCTGGTGTAACCACTGGGTGTTGAGTGTTGGCTTTTAAAATCTATAAATAGTTATTCGTGAAGACTGCAACTTGAAAATGGTAGGATGCAGATAAAGAAGACACCTGTCAAAGCCCTCTGTCTGCTACGTGAAAGGCTCTCTCTGGATTTCCATTTCTTTTCTCCTCATCAGCTTCCTTTAAGCATACGTCCTAGTCCCATTGCTGAGGAAGTGCTTTAAAAGTTTCATTCTACCTGTGCTTTTTTTAAATGCAGCTCAAACTACTTGCTGTCAAGCAGTGAATCAGTGAGCTCGTGTTATTTCATTTTGTTAAATATCTGAGGGCCTATTCTATGTTGTATAGAATCTATCATGTTGTATGCTGCCGTATTTTAGGAGAAAAGAATAGCAAAGCCTGAACTGACTAATTCAGAATATGCTGGGCAATGGAAAGAAAATTCCATTTTCTTTCTTAATTTACCCCAGTGGAAGGACCTGGACCTGAAGTATTACTTATTTTGTACCTACTGTCAAAGTAATCTTTACTAGGAGCAAAGTCTGATCTTTCATTCCCCAAATTCCTACTGTATTTACCAGCTTGAGCATCCTAAATTTCTGTCTCATATGGTAAACACATAGTTGGCTGTAGAGAGGTGAAACTTGTCCGAAGTCAACAGCAGAGTGCGGACAGGGGATTGTGTCCATAATTAGGCATAGCAGACATGATCAATAAAAGTTCAAAAGCAAACATGCCATTAGCAAAGAGATTTGTGTTTTTATTCTGATAAGAGCACTTAAGATTAACAAATTGAGTAACTCATTTGGGTCCTACAAGAGAGATTAATATGCAGCAAGTATAGAGTAGCATACCAATAATTGAGAAATTCTACATACCTGCCAGTGAGTGCAGTTTTCTTAGAAAAGATGTAGGATTAAGTCAATAGCTCCAAAATATTTTGGCTCTGCAGATCACCAGCAACCCTCAAAACTCACTACCGACAGTTGTACACCTTTCTCATTGACCTTTTAACTGCTGGAAATGAAGCATTATTTGATACGGCTCTGTGAATGACCTCCAGAGCATTTGCTGTGACCCCGTGGGCTGTGAGTGAGCCGGGGGCTAAATTTGGGAATCACCAGAATAAACACAGTGACGGAAAATAGATAGAAAGTTCTGTGTTTGTATCGCGGTTCCTACACGAGGGTGTAAAACTGTCAGCACGATGTAGTGGAGCTGCAATGTGCCATGATGCCTAATACTGGTAGCCCATTGGGGCCTGATGCTGGCAATTGCATCCTGCTTTTGTCCCTTTGTCCCGGGGCTCCCGAACAGCTACGCCGTCACCGTAAAGGCGTTTGCTCCTTCGGCTGCCCCTCCATGGGCTCCTCCACCACTACAGGACAGTGGGTCTTACAGCATCCGCTCCTGGTCATGGTCACGAGTGGAGATATCCACCCGGCCACCTCTCTGCCTCACTGTCTCACCTCACGCACAGACGTGTACGAGTCCACAATTAAGTTAGTGTATGACTGTGCAACCGAAAACACGGCTGTATGAAATAAAACAGAAGAGAAATGGCAGAATGCAAACTGGCAAAATTACGCCTTCATTTTTTTTACACACTCTAGAAGGGTGTCATCTACATGGAGTTAAAATTTACTTCTTTTGCAACAGGAAAAGAGGAATTACATTATTAATTAAAATAATGTTACATTTTGGAAACTTTTTGTTTATTTGTTTTAATTATTAATAGTTCACCATCAATACATATTTCTAGTACCTATATGTATATAGGGTTAGCATAGTAATGCAATGTATTCTAAACATAAAATAGGTGTTCATTACATTTTTTTTTTTTAAAGGAAATACTTTAGTAATAATTTAGGGCAGGAGTTAACCAAGCAAGCAGCCATCAAGTAAGCTGATTCTGTCCTTGGGCAAGATCAAATTATTTTCACTGTTAGTTCTCTTTCAAAGTATTTGTATGATACATTTCTTTTTCTGTGATGATTGCATATTTTTATTGTCCGAGTAAATGCGTTGCTGGTGACAAGTGCATCTTTTTTTTTGCAATGAAGCTGTATTTCTCATTTTTGGATGAGATCCTGTTTGTTTCGAAATAGACTGTAAATTTCCTATTACAGTCATTAGAAACAAAAGCAGCCGTAGGACTGTTTCATTGTATTTTCATAAACTGTGAACATATTTCATAGTAGTGGTATCTTAAATAATTAAATATCAGAAAAACACCACCCATTGCTGAAAGCATTAGAAGAATTACAAAGTATTTAGCTTAATTTTTGTTTTATCTCATTTTGTTTTTAAACTATATGTGCATGTAGACCGTGCTTGAAGTATACCATCTGCTTGTGGAACAATGTGTATTATTATCCCAAGAGCCTTAGCATGCAAGACTAAAGAACAATAGAGTCCAGTTCAAACCATTTCATATCTGAAATGGTGATTATTTTTTTTCTTTCAGCTGCTGAAGGCATTTCTTAAACTATTTAAAATTTCTGTTAAACTGTAAATGGATATATAACCACCACTTCTCAAAACCATTGATATAGTATGCACATCAGCAGATATATAAAAAGCCCTATATTTCTTTGCAGAAAGAACAAAATTGTATTAATGTGGTGATTTTAGAGCTTGAACCCGCCTCCATAGTTTTCAGTGGAGAATGTCCTATGGAGTTTCCTGGAACTGGAGAGGATTCTTTTTCTGCAGGGAAGATTTCTCAGGGAAGATTTTGATTATAGAAGAAGTCTTGTGCACGAGTACTTGCAAAATTTTACAATCCAGTTATGTATGATACCTATGTAAGAAAAAACAATGCCCCGTA